TGCTGCCCCGGGGGCTCTGGGGCTCCCGTTCGGGCCGGCTCTCCCGAGGGGCCGCTGCGGTAGCAGCGCCGGTGACGGCGTCCTTCAGGCGCCTTCCGAGAAGATGCTGCCCCGGGGGCTCTGGGGCTCCCGTTCGGGCCGGCTCTCCCGAGGGGCCGCTGCGGTAGCAGCGCCGGTGACGGCGTCCTTCAGGCGCCTTCCGAGAAGAGCCGCTGCGTCCTCGCGGCGGGGTCTTGCTGTGGGGTTTCGTTTTGTCTCCGCTGCCATACGGAACAGTTCCTGCCAATGAGGATGCTTGTAGAAGAGGGAGCAGGTGGTGACAACATTAACGTTGCTTAGTGTGCCAAGCGAGTAGGTTGAAAGGGCTAAGCAGGATGTTTCTTTTAGGTAAAAATGGAAATAATTAAACGTGTGGAAGGTAGCAGGCTGTAGGAGCCTGTGCTTGCTATAAAGCTGAGGTTCTAATATAATAACTTCCCTTGGTTTGTTGCTTTGGTATTTTTATACAGTACTGTCATAATTGTCATAAAGGCAAGATGTGCCTTTAAGGTTCATTAAGACTTCTCGGCTGGGAGAGGAAGCGTAATAGGAGTTAAGGGGAAAACACTTTCAGTTATGAATGTGTGCCACGTGATGCGGAGCTGTGGAAGTTCGCTGTTTGAAATAAATAGTAGCGGTGGCTCGCTGATGTTAAAACCCAGAGCCTTTAAATGTCTGACACATAATTCTTCTTACTCTGCTTTTTCTTTAGCCAGGAGTAGCTACTTTGCTGTTTTATCTTTTTTTTTTATCCTTTTTTTTTCCTATAAAAGTTTCTCTGTAACATTTTAGTGTTAAGACAGTGTATTTTTCCTGTCTCCTTAGTAAACGTGTAGGTTTTCTTTCAGATTAGTTCCCCCTCAAAACTGATGTTTTACAGTAAATCTTGTCTGTGTCTGGAGGAGGTGGAGGTGTAGATGGAAGTGCAGTGGAAAGGAACAGGTGTCTTCAGATATTTTTCTGTCTTCTTAAGAAACACCTCATTTTGTTTGTTTTGAAAATGTGAAATCTAAAGGATTGCAGTGAATGTTAAAGTTATTTTTTTTTAAAAAAAGGCTCTTTAATGACAAAACAGCTGCTAAACACCTGAATGCTCATCTTAGTGCTATCTTTAAGGCTGCTCATATGCTAAAAATTAGCTTTAAGGAGGCAATGAAAATCTTTCATAACTTTGTTGTTATGCACTGTGTATGTTTTACACTGTGTGTTGTGTGTGTAATCCAGGATATTTTGACATGGTTCTTGAACTTCATTATAAGATGTTGTTTTCAAGTTTATTAGATCTTTCAAACAAGAGCTGAGCTTGACAGGAGGAGCATGAACATGATACACATGGTTTCATCAGTAAAGCAGATGTGACTTCTAGGGGTAGTGGCTGTTAGCACTTCTTAATTTTCTTTCAAATAACAGAAGACAAACAGTAATTATGTGTGTAATTCAAAAGCAGTTTTACTCAAAGTTCATAAATGGAATTGTCTTTCAGGCAGAGATGAAGCCTGGGAAATCATCACATCCAAAGGTAAATGTTTTATAATGTGATTAGTGTGTGAAAATAGAACTTTTTTATCATTTAAAGTATAGACAAAGACAAAAAATACAACAGAACTTGTGTCAAATGCAAAAGTAATTTCACTTACAATTAAAAATTAATGAAAAATTCTTCCCAAGTATTTTAAGTATGCGCTTGATTTTTAATGATCTTGAGTTGATAATGACACTATTTAAGAATAGCAGTAGGGCACAGCATAATTTTATTAAAATGTCTCGATCATAAAGACTTTAATTTCTCCCTCAGAATTTTTATTGCTATGAGTGATTTATATTGTCAGTAGTTAATTATGAGAATTGTAGCTCATCTGATAGAACATAGAGGTCTGCAGTAATTCCTGAACTGTGAATTCAGCAGTGGAGATGTATAGATACAGATGTGTGTCTGTGTGCCTGCATGTGTGTGTATCACTATGACATAAAATTGAAATTCGTAACTTCCAAGTTTCATTTCTGTTTTTAGAGGCAATACAAGTTCTGTGGCAGAAGTGGTCTTTAATGGTCTTTAAGCCAATAAGCCAAAGGCACAGCAGCAGTCTGGCTAAGTCTTACTTTCATCAGCTCTTAATGTTGAATCGCATTGCGCTACTGGTCTTCTGTGTTAATGGTGTCTATGAAAGAACTTTGTATTTCATTATTGTCTTCTGCTTGTCTCAAGTTTACAAGCACCACCAAAAAAACACTTGTAGGAACCACCAGCATTGACAAAGGTTAGCTTTGCTAATGCGGTACTGTCAGAGGGACAGAAGGAAACATGAAACACGTAGATGCTAGAGGAAAGACCTCTGATCATATCTGTGACTAAGAAAACATCGCGTGTAAGGAGAGAGCAGAGGAACTGTGTTTACATAGTGTGGAGAAGTTGAAGGTAGGTTACATATTTGGAGGTTAATAAACATTGAACTAGAAGTAAAGAATTAAAGTTACTCAGCCTCCCTTCCTGTTAAGTATTAGGAAATATTTTGTATTAGTAAGAGTAGCTAAGAACAAGAACACCTTATCTAGGAACTTCCATTAACATAAGAATTACCTAGGAAAATATCTACCAGGTAAAACTGTGTAGTTCTGCTCCGGATGACTGTATACTCATCACAGACATTGACTTTCATGACAAGTTTAATAAACATCCCTTATGCTTGTTTTCATAACCACTGATAATTTAAACCAAGTTAGAGGCTATAAAATACTGTTACTGTATGTGCTGTGAAATGGAATGTGACAAGGAAAACCTTGTCATTGGTGAAGTTACAACAATTAATTGAAACATAGTGCTGCTATGTAATGTTGCTTAGAGAAAAAGAAGTTTGTTTGTTTGGTGGGTTTTTTTTTTAGCAAAGAAAGAATGATTTCCCAGGGGTTAATGTTTTTTCTAGGAGAACTGAAAAGGAAATCTGTAGAGAAACCTTATTTCTCTGCCTGAAACAGAACTTCCAGTAGCCTGCCACTGGCCAACTTGCTTGACTTCCCTTGGGTCCAGGAAGCCATGTTTCATGCCCACCTCTCTGCAGAGCTGTGATACTTCTCTAACAGTAGAAGGCAATATAACTGAGATACTACTGTTAAACAGTCAGCTGTTAAAGGAATTAACTAGTCATATTTTCTGGTGACAGAATAGTTTAAAAACTTCTCTTGTAGAAGACATAGAGGGGTGCAGGCTTTTTGCTTTAACTGGGATGTCAGGCAGTTATGGAGAAAGTCTGTAAGTGGTTCCTGTAGTCCAGGAATAGAGGTAGTCTTGTCTAGAAAGAGACCAGGCTTGTCCAGGTGGTAGATCTGCTCTGTTTCTCAGGTTGACCAGCTCAGACATCAAAGTCTAAATATATTTTGTCCTCCCTTTTCCTTCCCTGTCCCCCTGCTTCCTTTCCCTGATTATTTTGACATCCTTTTAGTGACGAAAATTAGAGATACAGGAGAATCACAATACAACCTCTTCATAATTCAACATAGAATTTTATCATGTTATATTTTAAACTGTTTGAAATGTTTATAACTCCCCATCCAGCAGAACAGTAATGCAAAATGATGACTGAGAAGGGATTTTTATTTTCCTGTTTTCTAGTGTACTCTTGCAGTATGCTGAGCAGTCTCAAGTCTCATACACTTCAAAAAGCATTGAGGAATACCTTATCACTCACTGAAAATTGTTATAGTAGTTTACTTTTTTTATTTATGTCCTTTAAGTGGAAATTTTATTCTGATTGTATCATCAGCTACTGTTTAGGTCAAACAAGATAATATTTGGAAGGCCTGCTACTTTTGATTCAATAGAAAACATGGTTGGTAACTTTATTGGGAATGAGCTTGTGTTGAAATGGTTTAGAGTCTCTTCTAGGCCTGTGTGCTTGTTTGAGAAACCACAATTTTCCTTCCTAGAGATTTCTCAGTTGATTTAGGAAAGAGGTGGGGAGGAACCTATGAGAAATTTATATCTTAGTTCTCTAGCTAAAAAATCTTCCAGCAAAATGTGAAGTAAGAGACATGGTCTGATTCAAGCTTGGAAATGGACAGAACTAGAATTTTCACATAGCTAGGAAGAAAACTTTAATAGGCATGTGGTTGTTCACTAATGCAGGGTAGTCAGCTTTATTTAAATATGTAGGTGAGTATGAAAGGTTTGTGGCTGTATAGTTTACCTACCTACTACCATATGTTGTTTTAGTTGTAGGATGCATTGATTTTGCAACTCTAGTAGCAAAGTTTTTATAAATACCTATAGACATATTACAAGTAATCACCCAGCAGCAGTATCTCAGTAGTATAGCATTTTGATAGTTACAATAGAAACAGTGCCAAATGAAACTAGCATGGCTTATAAAAACAACTGTTAGTCTTCAAATAGCAATCCTTGTTGTATATGGGATAGCCATCTGCAAAACTCATCACCTTAAGATTTTTATGACTTCTTTGGGTTTTGGTGGTTGTTCTTAATGATGGATCTCCTCTTGCGAATGTTGAGAAAGCATTTTTTGAGTCTTCCATTTTGTAAGAAAGTGAAGTTATGAATAGCCTAGATAAGGAGTGTTTTCACTGTGTTGTTATCTGTTCTTACAGTCTTGAAATGCAAAGCAGGAAATGTTTGTCAGCTTCATTGGGAAGTTCTCTTACAAATTAAAGTACCTACTTTATGTCTCCTAATAACTGTGACTTCTTTACTATAGAGATGAATCACAGAAATTAAATTTTCATATATATAATATTTGTGCATAGCTGTATGTGGATATTGAACTTGAGCTCGTAAATAATAAAAGAGAACAAAGTTGGGGTAACTGCTCTCTAGGCTACATAATATTTCACCAGTTCTACATGTTTGGAGTAGATAGACTAGATAAAAGCTTAATTTCACGTTGCCTTTGGATATGTGAATCTTAAGATGTTACAGATTATATATTATTCAGAAATAAAAATAAATTACCTGCATAAAATAGAGATGGCAGTTTTTCCTAGTCACATGGTGTGCTTGTCATATTTGTGGAGTGCAAAGGCTGTGACTGCAGAGGTCACCTTTTATCGCTTGATCCTACTGAGATGGCTGGTGTATATCAGACTCCTTTGGAGTTAATTCAGCTTCTTACTGCACAATGTCATTTTAGGAGGTTAGAACTCTGTCGAAACTGTAATTATTATTGTGATATAACTTAAAGTATTCTTAAACAAGTGAGCTTGTGTTGTCACTTCCAGGTAGCATATTTGGACTCTTCAGTAGTTGTGCTTTTCATCACTCGGTGAATAATGCAGTTAGCTGACTGTTTTCAGTGGTCTTGTATGGTGATAAAATCTTTCATTCAGCTGAAGATTTAATATGGATTACTGATCTGATAGTGGAAAACTATCTTTATAAATCAGAACCAATCCAAGTATAGCAAAACAACTGTCACAAATGTATCTTACTGTAGAGGAGTCTCCTTCTGACCAGTTTACATGTTGCTCTGTAGTCACAGTTGATCAAGATTCTGAACCACAGCTCTAAGCAATAGCAAACCCTGTGTGCATTGGGAACCTCCACTGGTTGCAGAGTGAATTGCATAGGCTTACTGTGTGCTCCTCTTGGCCATAGTAAGTAGCAACTTAGAAATAAGGGCTGGTTTTGAGTGTATGTGTGTTCTGTGGAGTCTAGAATTGCTGACATGAGAGCCTTTGACAAACTGGTGACACGATCTGTATGGTGGTTCTGTTGGTCAGTAGGGATGATTGAGGGAAAGTGTAAGTTATTATGGTCCCAGTCAATCATTTTTCTAGTGCCACTGATGGACCTTGCATGCTGAAATAATGTAGATGGGGTTTTGAAGAGTTTTAAAGCCTTTTTCTTATGATTGCTTTTCTGCTTGTTTTACAGAATTGAATAGTTTCCCAAAATTCAAAGGCAGCTTGCCACCAAGTTTGATGTTTCTGCTTAAATGTGTTGACTTGTCATTAATCTTCTGCAAGCATGAATAGTTACATCACTTCTTTTTTCTTTCCCTTATATTTATACATATATGTTTGGGGTTTTTTACAGGATTTACTTGGAGTAAAAGATCACTGACTTCTACGATGGAAAAGTCATGGATGCTTTGGAACTTTGTTAAAAGATGGTTACTAGCTTTGGCTTCCTGGTCTTGGAGTCTCTGCCGTATTTGTCTTTTACCCTTGATAGTAACTTTTCACTTGTACGGAGGCATTATACTACTTATATTAATATTTGTATCAATAGCGGGTATATTATATAAATTCCAGGATGTGCTGCTTTACTTTCCTGAACAGCCCTCTTCATCACGCCTTTATGTTCCTATGCCTACTGGTATACCACATGAAAATATCTTCATCAAAACCAAAGATGGAGTTCTCCTCAATCTTATTCTGCTGAGATATACAGGGGACAATGCAGCGTATTCTCCAACCATCATCTACTTTCACGGGAACGCAGGCAACATTGGCCACAGGTTGCCAAATGCTTTGTTAATGCTAGTAAACCTGAAAGTAAACTTAATTCTTGTTGATTATAGAGGGTATGGAAAAAGTGAAGGAGAAGCAAGCGAAGAAGGTTTGTACTTAGATTCTGAGGCTGTGTTAGACTATGTGATGACTCGGTCTGATCTTGATAAAACAAAAATTTTTCTTTTTGGCCGTTCCTTGGGGGGAGCAGTAGCTATTCACTTAGCTTCTGAGAATTCCCATAGGATTTCTGCCATCGTGGTGGAGAACACCTTTCTTAGCATCCCATACATGGCCAGCACTTTGTTTTCTTTCTTTCCAATGAGATATCTTCCTTTATGGTGCTACAAAAATAAATTTCTGTCCTACAGAAAAATCGCTCAGTGCAGAATGCCTTCTCTCTTCATCTCTGGGTTGTCTGACCAGTTAATTCCACCAGTTATGATGAAGCAACTTTATGAATTATCCCCAGCTCGGACTAAGAGATTGGCGATATTTCCTGATGGAACTCATAATGACACTTGGCAGTGCCAGGGTTACTTCACTGCACTTGAACAGTTCATCAAAGAAGTAATAAAGAGTCACTCCCCTGAAGAAATGGCGAAAACATCATCTAACGTAACAATAATATAATTGGTGTTCTTCTTTGGGGTGGGGGAGGTACCTGCACTGTACCTTGATTTGTGAGAAGTGGTAAAAGAATGTCCATTTTTACATGTATGTCATGTCTGTACTTGCCTAAAGAGTGAAATTAAACTTGGAAAGGTGTGATGCTTTATTAAGATGTTCCAGATAACTTTTACATTTGCAGCATTGTAAATGAACCATTTTATGTCTTTCTCATACTTTTTTGGTATCTCTGTCCACATATTCCACTTGTTTGATATGTACAATGGATGCTATTAAAGGAACTTGCTACAAAAGTAGTACAGAATGTATGAGTTTAGAAAAAACGGGAGGCTTTTCAGTATTCACTGCTGTATGTGTGAGCTTTTTGGACAGTCATGGTTAGCACAATGATTTATTGTTTCTTAGAGTTTATTTAAAGTGTGCCATGCATGAGATTAGTGTTTTATTCCTTGAAATTTTATATTATGCAAGGTGGGAAGTTTTTAATGTGCTAAATAATATAACGTTAATGGTAGAGTATACCTGCAGGTATACTATCCTGGGTTATTACTGTTTTTTGCGGTTATGCATACATACATATTTCAAACTGCAACTGAAGAGGAAAAGATACTTTCCCTGTTTCCATATTTCCATAATAGTGCCTGGAAAGTTGTATTTACCTAAGCATCATGGCTTCAAGACTTTGCCCAGGCAATTTCTTCATAGAAAATAGAAGTAACCTTCAAAAAGAAAGCAGCGTGATCTGAGCTCCTTTCCACCTTAAGCTCTCCTCGCTAACATAGAGTCAAACTACTTGTTGTGCATTTGAGGTGGGATTTCCCAAGGCAGAGTGGGCGGCGTGATAGAAAGGAGTGTCGTACGAGGCAAAACTATGTATTTGTGTTCAGGTTTTTTTGGTGCTTTTTTTTATTTTTTTTTTTTAGGCTGGTGTAGTGAAATGTCTGTGCCCTTTATTTATACCTCCAAAAGAAATAAATCCAAATAATTACCAATGATCACATGATTAATGTATACAGTTGTTACAGTAAGGATTATAAAAAAGAGCAGTGCATTAAATTTACTAGACCTAAGCTTAGTCTAAAATAGATGACATTTCTTTTAACACTTTTTTACCCATTTGCTTGCAAAATGTCTTGCGGATCTGTTGTACCCATGTGGAATTGGTCTAAGCATCAGAAGTGAAGTTGTTTTATCTCTGCTGGGGTTTTTGAAGCTCGTATCATCATAGTATCAGAGCCAGCAGTACTTAAGCTGAAAGAGTTTGATTCTGCCTGAAAGTTGGGTTGGGTTTTTTTGTTTGTTTTAGGGGTCCTTATGCTCAGTAGTCCTATCAAAGTTGTATGCTGTCAGCTCAGTCCATATTGGAGTGTGGGGCTGCTTATATCCTCTATCTTCTGCAGGTTTTAATTTCTCATTTGCTGCAGTTGATGGCTTGCCTCTTAAAAATCTTGTGGGGTTTTTTAATGGGAAGAATGAACTGTGGAAAATCTTCCACACAATCTGTATGATTGCCCTTGGAATTGAAATTTTTAAATAAACTTTTCTGCCATGTTATCCTGATTCAGAAAAGCATCTCAACACACACTTAAATCTGTTTCCTGGTGGACCGTGGTACTTTAAGCTTGTGCTTAAGTTCTCTGGTTGAATAAAGCTACATTCCTGAGCTGGTGCCTTAATGGTTATGCCTCCTAAAATTTATTATGTGGGGTTAAATGTCTATGTGCACATGGTAATAGTTGTCAGCAATTTATAGATAGGGTGATACATCTTTAAATGTGATTAATTTATTTTTTTTTAACTTAAACAAACATGCATACCAGAAGCTGATGTTTTCTCTGGTAAGTATCTTTTGTCATCCTAAGATTTTCTTAGAGGTGATTGAAAAAGCTGTAGACCTTTTTGGATCTATAGATCTAAAATTATTTTAGATAGAGCGTAGTTTTAAATCTGAGTGAACCCAAAACTACTCAGCTTTCCAGTGCTGGTATTTTCTGGGAGGAGGTGAATGAGGAAGGTATGTTGGTGAAGTTTGGTTGGGGAGTTTGTTTATATAGCAGAAGGGAGTTAATAGACAGCATTCCCTTTCCTGTATATATTGTTTCAGCTATTTCACATCACTTTAGAATTAGGGTGGAGAGAAGGAAAATAAATGGGCAAATACTGCTTTTCTAGAAACAAGTTGATCAAGCTAAAATAACAGATCAGTTGTTGGAGACAGAATGAAGAGAAAGTAAGTAATTGTTTCAGAAGTTGTCTTAGCTTGTCGTTAAATACCAAGTTTTTTCATAAAATGTCGATTTCTGAAGTAACTTGACTTCTAACCTCACTCCATGCCAATCAAAGACACACAAAAAAACTCAACCCAAAATACCCCCGGTATTATGTGACAAATACAAATTAAGTATTCTTATTTGGGCACACAGTTGCTAAGTTAAATGTGGGGCATTAGATTATGGTAGTCTGGAGCTGTTCAAAGTGGACTGTATCTAAACATTAATTATCAACCCTTATCATGTCACTATATTGTCTGCAGGACATAAAGATGAACCTTTGCCTGATTTTGCAAGTATTGGGTACGAGAAGACCCAATTGTCATATATGCATCCATTACACTTGATGTAGTTTCTTCCACCTTCCACATCTGCATGTTTTCACTTCTCTCTTAATGGGCTGGACATAGACACTTGTGAATGAATGTCTGTTATCGTGGTGTTTTTCATTGCATTGGTTATGAAATCCACTGAAACAAAATAGGAAGGAAGTTATTTTCTTATGTAAATCTTCTAGTCCTGTACATATGATCTTTTAAGGGAGGGAGAAGGAGGAAGAAACTTGTTTTTACAAGTCAAGACTTGTTTTTATTTTATAGTCTGTGTGATAGAAACTCACAGTTATCTGCTGCTAAAAGCCATTTTCAGACAGTGAACTGCAACAGCTTTGAATTGCCGAAAGGTGTATTATTATACTGTTGCATTTATTCCACTCACTACCATGACATCTTTTTCCTTAACAGTTCTCTGTGTATAGATGTTTCCCCAGTATTTGCCCTGTACATATAAATTTCTAGTTTGGGAAGAGGAAGTCGAGTTATTTTCACAGATTTGTAAGAAAGCTTCTTGGTTTAAATATGCTCATTAAAGGAATTGTCTCTTTTATATGAAGAACTTTTAAGTTAAAAGAAAAAAAAGGAAAAAAAATGGTGGGTTAGGAGTTGAACTGGAACAGCTGTAACAGTAGAGTCCTTGTAAGGAAGCATCCATTAATAAGGCCCTGTGTGCACACATGTGTGTGTGGTTTTAATTAGTAGAAATACTTGAGGCTTCCTGCTAACCCAAGTTTACATTCCCAGTATTTGTTTCTGAACTGTGAGATGCAGAGAGATAAGCTATGCTTGCGTCTGAAGAAATGTTAACTGGTGTAGCTGTCCTCATGTCCATTTCTCAGGTAAAATTAGAAACAGAGCACAAATACATTTGGTAGGCTACGGGACAATCGGTTGAAGGGCAGATGGATTAACGATTTATATAAAATATGCATATCAGCATCTCTGAGCTTATCATTTGCGTCACATTGGAGGTTCACAGTGAAGAACAAAAGGCTGAATTGAAAGTCCAAGGTATGGTCTCTTCTGTTAGCAAAGCAAGGCAGATGTACCTCCATTTGTGTTTCATAATTTAATTCCTGAGAAGTACATTTTTATTTTTGTTTATGATAGGTGATTTTGCTGGGGGCACTTCTGCCAAATATAAAGTCAGTGCCTCTTGCATGTAGTGGGATCAGCCTCATGTATCCCATTAAGAATAATTTACGATGCCATCCTGCTTGTTTAATTTCGAGTTGAACCCCACAGAAGTGTAAATAGAGATAGCACATTGAAGTTCTAAATAACACTTGTGTTTTGAATTCAGAAACAGTCATTGAATATATGATGCAAGCTTTTAATTTCATTTTTCTTTAGTATATAGTTAAAGCAAAAATGTCTTATAAAGTATACCTAAGTTTTGTAGACAAAGCATAAATGTTACTGTATATGTGCTAATTGTGGCAAAATTTTACATTCTCATCCTAGTCTGGTTTTTACAATATGATTAATTTTACAAAAAACACTTTTCTATTTTTATGTACTGACATATGCAATAAATTGATACATTAAAAGTGCTGTTAATGTCTTGTTCTAGTTTGTGGCCTGTCTTCAGTGTGTGCACAGGGGTGTTTTTGTATGCATGATAACTGATGAAAACTAAAACCAGAGCACATGGAATAGATGTCTACGTCGTTAGACGTGATATTTACGGAGAGCTGTTACAGCAGGGTTAAAATATATTACAAATATCTACTCCTGAGCTTTGTCATGAATCCTCACTTTCAGGAAGTGATGTGCAGTAGCTCTTGGTCACTTTCTAACACATTCTGCCTTTCAAAACTGCATTTGGTGTACTGGTCTAAGTAGTATGTCACTTAGGAAATATTTTTAAGCTTCTGACTAGTTTTACCACCTGATGCTGGTAATACTTTAAATGTCAGTTTTAAATGTTGTAATCAGTCTAGCAGGTTTATAGTTAATTCATGCAGCTGCAGTGAGTTACTTGAGATGAAGCAATTTCTACTTTCTTACAGAGAAATGCATAACTAAGCTTGCATTCCCTCTGCTCCCGTCCTGCATGGTTAATAGAAAATACATAGTAAATAAGGCTTTACTGCTATCTTTTTTAAAGTTCAAAAATGTGTGTCTTCTCCTGGATTACCACAACGCTTAACATTCAATTTTAACCCAATATTTAGGAGACAGTGGTGGGTGGTACATTTTGAAACTTTATTTAAGATACTTGCTAATTTTGAATGGGAAACAAAAGATGGTATTTCTAATTTTTGAAAACGAAGCAATGAAAGTAGAAGAGCAGCTCAGATTTGGGTACTTAATGTGAAGACTTCCCTTGAATGAAAAGCAGATTTCTGTCTTATGAACTAAGTCACTAAACTACTTGCACATTGCTACTCTGAAGAATACAAGTCTTGCATTTGCTTTTTCTTATTTGAAAACTGATAAGCAGTTGGGCTGTGAAGTGCAACATAAACTGTGTCCTGGAATGTCTTGTGGTGTTACATTAATTTGCTGAGTAGATATGTATAGGCCTTCATATCAGATAGACAAAGGTAAAATACAGTGTTTAAATTTGCAAATACTGCTTAAATCATACTAAATATTTGTAAGGGCATATGAATCTCTAAACTAAAATGAAATTAAGAAATTAAACCTAAACCAAAGGCAGG